TAAAAGACAGCTCACAAGCAATGGAAAAAAAATCAGAATGCCTTCGCTGATCTCGAGATTCATGTAGGACACTCACGAACGCCTGTTAACCATAACCTACTAATCTTAACTTATACTTAGAGCCATAGCAGAGACCAGATTTCAATAAAAAAAAACAACCCTGCAGGCCTAGCACTCCCAGACTGAATTTGCCTCAAAAGAAATGGAAAGGGGAATCAACACAAGCTCCACCTCCACATAGACAACTTGAAAATAAAATTTCATGTAACAGGAATTTAATGTTTCAGAACTTTTAGTAAACTGAATATGTGATAACCATAAAAGCAAATCCAAAGCAAGTATGACTGAAGTTTTTGCTTTCCCTCCCTAATTCATCTAGTCAGAGTCCTCTGAACATTGGTCATTTTGTAAAGAATGTAATCTATGAATGGCTGTCACAATAAACACAAGCAGGATGCAATCTGATCATGAGCTATTGAAAGCTTTCTCCCATTAGGAAAGTACTTGTTTCATCTAATCAAACATGATTCAATTGCCATGTGTAGTGCAATCTGCTTTTGCTAATTTTACACATCTGTTTCAATGCAATTCTTCAAAAGCTATTTAAGTAACACAGAAAACTCCAACCACCCTCAGTTTGAAAATATTCTTTCCCTCATTGAAATCTGACTCACAGAGTAGCTCCACCAACTGAGTTTGAAGCATTGACAATTATCTCACATAAATCAGATTAAAACAATACTTCAGAAAACAATTATATTCTCACACAATTGTACCTGAAGACAGCTTAACAGAAAATTTCAATTTCTTTTCATCCTCCTAACTAGCAATATTTACCAAAGCAGCTCCTTCAAAAGACATGAGGAAAAAGCTGCTCATGCACAGGACAATTTTACCTGGAAGCATCCCTACAGTATAAAATTCAGACTGGATAGAAAATAAGTAATTCAGGATAAATACTTTCCATATCTTTAGTGGTTTTCTAAAATTCAGCAAAACCAAAAATTATCCCAAGTTCAACTTGTGAATACAACCACTTAAGGAAATATTAGTAAAATCAGGATTACTTTAACTCTTGAGAAACAATTTAAGACAACCCAATCCCATAAAGAAACTAATTTTCCAAAAGTATTTTTTATTCAAGATGCTAATATCCAAAGATAAGGCAATTTTGTGAATTCCATGTAATTGCCTTTAAACCATCCAGATTTTACCTGTGCAGGAGAGTTAGCTTCTTCACCCTGCTTCTTCTTTTTCTTCTTCTTTTTCTTGGATTTGCCACTTGCAGAACTCTGAAGAATTGGCTCCGCTTTTTCTCTTTCATTATCTGAGATCTTCATACGGGAACAGAAGGTATTTAGCATTTAAAATGACAATGAAATATACCTTCTATAGACTAAACATAAATTGATAGCTATAAGAAATTGTATATACTATTGGAAATGAACACAGTCTTATCTGTTCAATTCATTCTAAAAAGACCACATTCTTTACATGCTATCTGGTAATACAGGTAGAAGAATTGGGAATGGAAAAGGCAAGAGAGCACCAGGCACTAGTGGCATGGAAGTGCTATTTTTCATACTGAGAATTAATTATTGGCAAGATTTATAAAAGCAGATCTAAACCTTCCCAGTATATGCTGATAATGCAGTCCTTATAATTATGACAAGACAGAAAGGTTTAACATGGAGCTAAGTGATTTCTCTCTTCTCAATAACATTCAGTGTTTTCCTTCTCTGTGTACAGAGCAAACACAGTCGTGCTACTCTTATCAGTGTAACCATGATGAGAGATTACCTTTATAATTACCCTTCAAGTTACTTTAAGAAATGGCAGTGGTAAGGACAAAGTCTTTGAGCTCAGGAGAAAATACCACCTTTTACCTTCTGAGTATCAGATCTCTCTTCACGCTGAGGAACAGAAGCAATTTTTTCTTCATCTACCCAGTTTCCCCACTCTTCTGCTGGTGCATTCCAATCGGAGCTTGGATCAGCTGAAGAAAGTCCATCTACAAAGATTAAAAGGTTTTTTCAGGAATATTGCCTTACTCCACAGGTGCTCATTTCCAGTTTAAAAATGAAAGAACTCCTAGACATATATATTATACACTTCTTGATATCAAGATATGAATAGCAATTTCCTGTATTTCTGAAAAAAAGGTAGACTTTTATCAATGAGTGGAGCACTTTTTAAAGTAATGACAGTGATTTTACAGAGCCTAATCACAGCAGCAGCTAGCTAGATGCAGTTGCTTCAAGGTATTTTTCTAAACTATGTGAAGAGGAACAAATTTATGAGTTGTTCTCTATCTTAAGCTGCTCTCT